GGTTATATTCCTGTGAAAAAAGCTGCTGCCATAGAACGACAACTGCGCTGCATCAAGACGAATCTCAACGACTCGAGAGTACCTTGTGTAGCTGAGGTGAGGACTTATCGAGGTTCTTTCATACATATTTGTACCAGCTCGATTCGCGGTATCACCTGCCGATCAGCAGTCCTTTTAGTTTTACATTTCTCATTAAAAAACCTAACTTCGGTGTCCTGTTTTCAGATAGCCCTCGTCCCTCACTCGACAGACCTGAAGAATATACAGACACAGTATCCCGGCTTGTACATCCTTACTGATCCTGCTCGTTTGATCCGTTCTGTGCGGAATCTCGTAACTAATTCGGTAGAATTTATAGGTAAGTGATCAAGAAGTATTATATTTAATCACCCATCAGTTGCGATGCCTGTTTTTTTTGTGCTGGTAGGGTTTTTTTTGCTGGTTCCGTACTTACACGGTAACATATTTTAGGTACATTTGAGCAAGTCTACCTATCCATAGTCATTGATCCCTCGGAAGCGGAGCCCGGAGTTACCATTCATCAGGAACTACATCCAAGCTGTCTATTTTCTTTTGCGGGAAACCTCATTCCTTTCCCGGATCATAACCAATCGCCTCGGTATGAATTTTATGCCACTTCTCTGACCGAATCAACCTCTAACACTCATTGTGACTCTCCATCTCAATGAGGATAGGTCTTTTAGATTGATAGCCAACAAGGGGTGGATGCTTGGTCGCGGGGTAGTTAGAAATGACATTCAAACAAACTTACGAATCTTTGGAGCTTGGCTACAATTTTGTTCATCATATTTGCCAAGCGATGTTGTGACCAGAGTTGCTGTGGTTTTTGCCCTAATCCTTTTACCTTGGTCGGGAATCAGTGGTAGGGTGAGCCACGTGTCGATGAGACTAGACTGAAAGACACGAATTCGTTCCAACCGAGAGCTAAATATGACCGTTCTGTAAAAAAAATCCTTAACGTTGGTTCATCCAGGTGAGGGGCAATATTTCAACCCATATACTCTCAGGCGGTCGGTGCCTATTTATTAAAAAGCGCTCCGTCTGTCGTCTGCTCCGCCGTTTGTTGGGGTCCGTTTGTATGTCTGTCAAAAATTTCCCTGCTTTCTTTAGAACTGTGGTCAAGTATGGGATGGGTGGGCCATGACTCGAGAAGTGCAGAACATACATCAGCTAAGCGGAGGAGGTCCCGCACACTGTGTGTGACGGTGGCATCCAAAATGAGCGGCACTGGCGATGGAAATTTCAAATTCGGTTTCAAGACCTAGAGACTGGGGACAATGGATAAAGGTGTGCAGTGATAAGCCAGATCAAATTAGGGAGACCTACCTGCGATGGGGAGCGTCCTCTGAAAAGTGCTTAATGATAAGAATTTATTAATCGATCGAGGAAAAGCGTACAGAAGAGCAGAAAAAGGTTGGTTTAGGGACGTGTATGTCTAAGGTGTCCCCAGCGCGCATTACGTAAGCGGAAGCCTTCAGTGACATAATTGCAACTACTTTCTGTACGTTTCGACAAAAATGTTTGCTCTTGTTCAAAACTACGTTGCAAGTTAGATACTAGTTGGAAAAGAATGAAAAGGTGTTCAACTTTCTGGGTGACATAAAATTATCTCAATTTCAGAAATGTATACCAATGTCAAATGGGGAAGCAAACAATGGGAACTGCGGTACACTCTTGGCACACGAGAGCGGACAACAAAATGTATCGACTCCAGGTTAGACCCTTTTCAATCGTTGAGGGTTTGATACTTTTCCTTATGTTTGAAGCATCATTTATAATTTTATCTATGCAGTTTCCTCAAAGTCCTCTCCTCAAACTCGGAAGCTTATGAGCGATATGAAATGGATGAATATCCGCTGGGAACTAACGCATGTGTCGCTGTTATTTCTTACACAGGTATGTGAATCCTACCATTATATTCCAGGACATGCAATCAGAAAACATTTTAAGGTTACGATATGGAGGACGCCATGGTAATCAACAAATCATCGTTCCAACGAGGTTTCGCTCACGGAACAGTTATTAAAGTTGAAAGGTATAACACAATTTTTAGTGTGTTGGAGTTCATTTTTCGTGACAGCTATAGAAAATACGTAAATGGTCAAATAATCATCGGACCGATCGTCCATCTTACTACCTAACGTATCATAACTGTTGTAATTACCTTCATCTATCTGTCTGTTTGTGTCCCATAATTCACCATAAAAAGGTATGACCTAAAAATCGCCTGGAGTATGTGGGTCAGGACGGGCATGGTTGTTATGTACACGTATCTGTATACGAAACACAAGACAGCTGGTCCGTGTCCACGGAGTACGAGGCCTGCACTCAAAGGTGCGATAGTGGCGACAAAATTTTTTTATTTCTGTTCCAGAAATGTCCAGATCTCGTGTTAAAATAGATAAAGTGCACGGTATCGCCATGTCGTAATCTTGAAGGTGGGCGGACCGTTCTCCGTATGGGCGGTGCTTATTTACTTTATATCTCCGCTAAACTGAGTCGATGGAACAAAAAATTGGTTTAGGAAAGTGAGGTCCATTGTAATGGAGATCGAGCTGAATTTTGGATCTTGACTTGTCGCGCTTCGTGTCGCCAGGGGTCTGGGTTGTGCGGGCGATAGCGTGTGGCGGCAAATTGGTTTCGTGTTAAGAATTTGGACCTCTTAGCAGTATTCTTCAGGTGATCCAATCTGAACTATAGACCTCATCCAGTAAGATACGTTTCAGCTAACTGCTGAGAAAGGTGAACGCTTTCGGTTTCGTGAACATAAGTTCGCAGCTTGGGCTGAACTGTATGGCCGCATCCGCAGTACAACCTTGGCCCCACGTTTTGTTCTCGCCTTCCACCTCATTTACCCATATTTCCCGACTCCTAGGCATTTTGTAACCGAATAATCCCGCTGGATGCGCTCCCTTCGGTGCATGCCCCGCCAGCCATGTATAGAGCTTAACTTGGCTCAAGTATGCTCTGCACATCCTGGCTCATGTCTCACTCAACTCAAACTTTATCCTAGTTCTCCAGATCTGTTTATTTGATATTGAACTCGTGGCAAACAGGCAGACAGAGATCTCGGATGCGACGAGTGTCGAATTGGCACGGCCTTGGAGTAAGGATCTACGATGTTACAGACCTTTTCCTCGAATGGAGAGGTCCCCTTCTCCTTGCTTTACGAAAATATGATTAAGTTTTTTGGAAAGAACAATAATAGGCAGGCAATAAGTAGGTAACCACTCATAAACTAGTAATGTGCTGGAGTTAAATTAACAATCAAAACCAAGAGAAGAATATAAATATGTAAAGTAAAGTGAATTTACATTTCGCCATGCCTATTTCAGCATTTCATGTATAATAAAACTATTCTAGGATCAACTTGGTGACAACTACCGAAAAGAAAACACTATTCCGTATGGACCCGAAAAATCCATACAAAACTGTCGGTTGTGACGGTCTTCCCATCCCAGGACGACGATATTTTGAAGGTGTGAATTCATTTCCTACCTGTAGGTCGATGTCAGACTTTGCGAATCGAGCGATTCGCTAGCGTACGCGTCGCGGTCAGCAAAACGCTCCATTGGGTGGTACGCAACGCGACCGCGGACGCTAGCGAATCGCTCGATTTTCACATCGGCCGTAGACGGGAGCTACAGCAGGGATCAACATTTTCTAGCGCACTGTTTCGGCCCACGCAACCTGTTGAGTAGTTACAGTTGTAATTTTCAGACGATGTCTACTACGTTACCTACAATCAGGATACAGGATTACATCAAGCACACAAATTTCATTATGCTGAGCCTGCTTATTGTGGCATCGTACGTCTAGTCCACCAGGATAATGTCGAGGAAGGCGCAAGGGTAAACATTCAGTTGACGCAGCAGTAATGCAGTTTCCAGCTGCAGAACGAATATTTTCAATCGATTCATAAAGTCATTTGTAGCATGCATTAATTCAATGGCGCATCGAAAGAAATCCGATCATTGGCGACAAATTTGCGTCCAGACATGGTCAGAAAGGAATTAACTCATTCCTTTGGCCTGTAGAGAATCTGCCGTTTAGTGAAAGTGGAATGGTTCCGGATATTATATTTAACCCTCACGGTTTTCCTAGTCGGATGACTATTGGTGAGGTTTTTACCTAATCTTTTTTCTTCATTACATAGGTGTCGATTCTCATGCACTTGTTGCAGGGATGATGATTGAGAGCATGGCAGGAAAAGCTGCGGCAATGCATGGCGACGTCTATGATGCTTCTCCATTTGTTTTCAAGTATGTGGTGTACTTGTCTGAAGAACTTCTCAACAACAAGTGATTATTGAATGGATTTCAGTGAAAAACGAACTGCTATTGATCACTTTGGGGAACTGTTGGCAAAGGCTGGCTATAACTACCATGGAAATGAAACCTTCTATTCTGGAGTAGATGGAAGACAGCTGGAGGTCTGTCTAACAGTCAAATCGCGCTAGGTCTTTGTCTGTTGAAGGTTTCACCTTTTAGGTGCAAATATTTTTCGGCATTGTTTACTATCAGCGGCTGCGACATATGATTGCCGACAAATTCCAGGTTCGTATGTGCTCATTCGACGTTGATTCCTTATTCCCTTCAAGGTCGATTCTCCACAACACATTTGCAATCAGGCTTTTATGAGGATGAGATGGAGCTTCATGAACGTATTCTAAGGCGGGTAACTAAGCTAGAGGTGGTCAGTGGTGCCGAGATGAAGAAAAAACTATGGAAAGTGGCCAGGTGACCCCTTCCTTGCCCATTACTCTCCGCATTGATGCGACTCTCATCGGTGCTGCTCTCTCTGAAACGCTAGAGACCTGCGGCGAGTGGTTAGCCAGCCGGTGGGCGTGCTTCATCGATAGCGCCGCGAGGAAGGATATACTAGATCGCGGAGGGCATATCTTCACTGCGATTTGCGTGCGGTCTGCCCCTTAAGAGGTCCGCCTCTCCATTGTGCACTATGTTCTCCCTTCTTCGACCTTCGATATAATTGTTTAATCGCTCGGAACGACTCTGGAAAATGGTAGCGCTACGGTACCGGTTTACACCGAGTCCTTCAACTTTTGCCCAATACCAGTCAGCCTGAGAAACATTACTCGTAGAGTGGAATTCATTCTTAAAGGAAGCAGAATTTGCTACCCTCGCGTTATCAATCGATAAGGTGTGAGG